CTGTGTGGATCACAACAAACTATGGCAGGTCCTTAAAGAGATGGGAGTACCAGACCACCTCACATGTCTCTTGAGAAACCTGTATAAGGGCCAAGAAGCGACAGTTAGAACCGGATACGGAACAACTGATTGGTTCAGCATAGGAAAAGGAGTACGACAAGGATGTATATTGTCACCTTGCTTATTTAATATATATGCAGAGTACATCATGCGAAATGCTGGCCTGGATGAATCACAAGCGGGAATTAAGATTGCTGGGGAAAAGATCAACAACCTCAGATATGCAGACGATACCACTCTAATGGCAGAAAGTGAAGAGGACCTAAAGAGCCTCTTGCTCAGGGTAAAAGAGGAGAGCGCAAAAGTGGGCTTGAAGCTCAACATCAAAAAAACTAAGATCATGGCATCCGGCCCCATCACTCCTTGGCAAATAGAAGGGGAAGTCGTGGAAGTAGTGACAGACTTCACGTTCCTGGGATCCCAGATCACCGCAGACTGTGACTGCAGCCATGAAATTAAAAGACGCCTGCTCCTTGGGAGGAAAGCGATGGCGAACCTAAACAGCATGATAAAAAGTAGAGACATCACCCTGCCAACAAAAGTCTGCATGGTCAAAGCAATGGTATTCCCAGTAGTCATGTGTATGGCTGCGAGAGTTGGACTATAAGGAAGGCCGAGCGCCGAAGAATAGATGCTTTTGAACTATGGTGCTCAAGAAGACTCTTGAGAGTCCCCTGGACTGCAAGAAGATCAAATCAATCAGTCCTAAAAGAAATCAACCCTGACTGTTCCCTGGAAGGCCAGATAATGAAACTGAAGCTCAAATACTTTGGCCACTAAATGAGAAGGGAGCCCTCCCTGGAGAAGAAGACCCTGATGCTGGGAAAGATTGAAGGTCAAAGAAGACGGGGACGGCAAAGGATGAGATGGTTAGACAGTGTCATAGATGCAACGGGCATGAAGTTGAGCCAACTTCAGAGGACGGCGGAAGACCGGAAGGCCTGGTGGGATCTGGTCCACGGGGTCGCGGAGAGTCGGACTTGACGGTGCCACTGAACAACAAAACCCCTGCTCTCTTGATTCCTCACAATCCCATCTCCCACCAGCAACAGCCCGCTGTGCCCCAAAGCCAGAAGCCGGTGCCAGGGGATATCGGTCCCTCGGTACAAAGAAGGGGTCCCTTCTAGAGGGTCATCCTCCGCCTGACACGCAAGACCCTCGTTCTCTATGGCGGCAGAGGAGCTGCGAGAGCAGGAGTGGGACATTGCTGGCAGGCCAGTAAAGGTCTCTCTCGGATTCTCCTCCTTCCTCCCATCCAAGAGCTCTAGGCCTTGAGCGCACACCCACAACTCCTGGCCCCCGGGCAGAAGGGCCCAAAGTGAGCCTCACCCATGGTGGAGAATGCCTGGGACAGCATCAGGCAAGTGTGCGCTGGGGACCCCCTCTGCCCCTTCCCAGCAGGCGAGTTGGAGGGGAGGGGGCACCTCCTGCAGTGGGGCTTGCCCACACCCCCTTCTTGCATCACGAGGCTCTGTGGGGGTGATGCACTGGGGCTGCCGCGCTCGCTCCTGGCCTCCTGCCAGTTTGATGTTGTGGTTAAGTGTGCAAACTCTAATCTGGGAGAACCGGGTTTGATTCCCCACTCCTCCTCCACTTGCACCTGGCTGGATGGCCTTGGGCAAGCCGTAGTTCTGACAAGAGCTGTCCTTGAAAAAGAGCCGTTTCTGTCAAGAGCTCTCTCAGCCCCACCTGCCTCACAGGGTGTCTGTTGTGGGGAGGGGAAGGGAAAAGGAGTTTGTGAGCCACTCTGAGACTCCTTCAGGTAGTGAAGGGCCATGGGGTATAGATCCATTCTTTTCTTCTTCTCCTCCTCCTCCTCCTCCTCCCCCTCCTCTCCAGCTTCCTTTTGCCCACTCCCCCCAGTCCTGGGGTCCTGCTGCATCCCGGCAAGAAGAGCTGGCCAGGAGGCGGGAGGGACAAGGGGCTGGGGCTTGGTCTCCCCACCTCGAGCAGGGCTGGGCTGCCCCCCCCCCGTTCCCCTCCGAGCCCCGGGCTGCGAGGAGGCTCCCGTCCTGTGGGGCTTCCTCCTCCGGCACAGAGGGGCCAACGAGGGGCCCTTCCTCTTCCCACAGCAGCACCCCCCCCCCCCCCCCCCCCTTTCCCCCCCGGATGGGGAAACAGCCCCAAAAACCCCCC